GCCACATTCGGCTCATTGGCCCCTTGAGTGTGGCTCTTCCACAAAATACCGACTTCTGCGCGTGGGCCATGAAGTTTCAATCGCGCTGTACGTGCGCACCCGTAGGTGGTATTTTGTGGAAGAGCCACACTCAAGGGGTCAAAGAGCCGCATGTGGCTCAAGAGCCGCATGTGGCTCGCGAGCCACAGTTTGCCGACCACTGGTCTAGTGAATGCGTGCATTCGCCACTCACCTCCAATCAGCAAATGCTCTGGGCTCAGCAGCAGGGGCGGGCTGAGCGCACCTGGGAACAGCGGTGCGAAAGGTCCGGGGGAAACATGGGCTCCTGTTCCCGTTACTAAAGCTACAGCAACTCAGCCCCGCAGCGACAGGACCAGTTACTGCGCGATGCGGTGTGATCGCGTGCTGATCATTCGCCGAACACTGTTTGCAAGCGCTGACTCTTGGGTTTAAGTATGTAGACTGCAGTTGTAGATATGTAATATTTCTTTATGTCGGCGAAATTACTAGTGTCTTTTTTCCCCAACATATGGCCTATTTACTAAAATTTGTTTAAAATAACAGTGAATTCACAACAAAAAATAACCGGTTTAATTATAAGCAAATCTTGGTTAAAAGCATTTTAAAATTAGCAGGGTGTTAATGTTCGCGTATGACATACGGACTGGAAATTTGGCCATTAAACCCGATTTCCGATAAATCGAGGTCCGCAAAATCGAGGGTTCGCTGCCCTGTCGGAGTGGCTCTCAGTTGGTTGAGCACGGTCCAGTGCACCAAGGGTTGCCAGTGGATTCCCGGTCAGGGCACGTGCCTGGGCTGCGGGCTCCATCCCCAGTGTGAGGCGGGCAAGAGGCCGCTGATCAATGATTCTCTCTCATCATTGATGTTTCTATGTTTCTATCTCTCTCTCCCTCTCCCTTCCTCTCTGAAATCAATAAAAACATACCTTAAAAAAAAAAGAACCCAGGTGGCAGGTGGTGGCACAGACACCCCCACTCCTGGGAGGAGGAGGGCCTGAGGCCAGCATGGCGGTTTGCCCACAGCCCCCAGTCATCCCCATGGATGGGGTGACCAGGTGAAGGCATTGCTTTCCAGAGCTCTAAACCCTTTAACCAAAACAGGACCAGAGCTGGGTGAGTGTCCCTCGGTGTATGGTTGAGGAAGGGGAAGGGCAGTGCAGGCAATGACCGTCCAGGCCTGGCTCCCCGTCCGCCTGGGAGAGGGGGTGGAGGCAGGACCCAGGTCTGCTCCCTCCCTGGACACCTTGCAGAGGCTCTGAGGGTTCCCACCTGGGAGACACCCCTTCCTTTCTTCAGTGTCTGCCTTCCCAGAGCTGTGCCCTCCTCTGGCCTGGACCCCACTCTGGGCTACCCCTTCCCTCTTGCCCACC